CAGCATCTTCGCGGAAAAGATTCCTAGCATTTGTTATCATGAATATAGGATTTTTGCCAAAAAGTTAAATTTTTAAAAAAAAAAATTTGCCAAAAAGTTAAATTTTTAAATGGCTTGATTTCTGTTGTAATGTCTTCGAAATCGTTTAGATCCCGAACGCAGGACCTGAAAATGCGGCTACATCGATGAAATGGAAAATTAGAAAGCACAAGAAAGCTGGGAAGCAAGGCAAAATGAGAAAATTGAAACAAGGCCAATCTGCGGGGAAATCAGTGGCATTTGACACAAGTGTTGTTTTGGAGCTACCGAAGACTAGTGACGTTAGTTTAACTTCATACTTTGAACAGATTTCTTCGCCATCGATGTAACTGAGAGCACATCCATTCTGCTGGTTTCGGAATTTCCTTTTTCCATGTAATGTTGCACGATCGATACTAAATTTTCATCTTAGTGTGTTGTTAACTCGAATAATATTGGATTTGCAAAATTTTCCTGTAATTCGAATTTCACATGTTGAACAGGCGGGAGGTGGTAGCTTGATATGGGGCTATGATCAGCCATCACTTGTTGTTAATACAAGATTTAATAGTTTATTCCCCCTTTCTTACGGTTAGTTACCCATATAAAAATAAAATGTGAGACAAAACGAGTATGAAAGCAACACAACTAATGTAGTACAGACAGTTAAAAGCAGTTGTTTTTTCATAAATTGATCTGAGCAAGATGACGGCATCTATGGAATAACAAAATAATACTGATTTAACCAACATGTTGAATAATAATGACGATGTCAATAACAATGCTGAATAATTCTTTTTCTACATACGTAAATAATATTAATTAGTTTCCTGTACTTCATTTTTAAATAATTCAAACTTTCCTAAATTATGAGATATCCGCAACGATTGGCCCTGTCGCGGAATACTAGCGAAAAAGCATCCGCTAAGAATAGGAGAAGTGTATTTTGCTTTGAAAGGCAGATACTCAGTAGATGTGATGCCAGGCTGAATCTGGAGCGCCCAGTGGTGTAGTGGTAATATGTTGCGTCCGAATGCAAAGGGGGGATGGTTCGATTCCCTCCCGGTCCAGAATAGTTTTTGAGAAGGCTCCGTTCACCACAGTGCAGGTAGTCTTGATATTCATGGTATAAATTTCTGTTGGTGGTTTTTGCGATACTTTTGCCACTTTTACTTCATTTTCTTTTCCCAGTGGACAGTTTTCATACTGTTTTTGAACGATTGCCTGTTTGCTTTGAATGCATTTGTATTTTTGTCGGAGAGATCATGACTGAAAGGAGTGACCGATGTTAGAATTATTGTGATTGCCAAAACCCCACCTTTTTCAAATCTCTGCGATGAGACCACGGTCGAAGAGCCTGCATAGCTGCTGCGTAGGATATGTGAGAGCATTCCAGTAACTTCACAAACATGCGATATCATACTGACTGTTCCGGTCGCCTTGGTGTTCTTGGTATGGCGGGAACAGCACGATTTTTTGCAACCAATCAATACTAAGAGCTAATCGAAAGCTTCCTTATTACGCCGCGTTTTCCAATGTCCATTTGTCGCTGACAACGAATTGTAGGTGAAATGTGTTTTCTAACTGGTCAACCGGAACCGGCCAGTAGGCTTGAAACTAGCTATTTGTCATTGTAGTAATTCCATGCTTTTGTGAACCGATGGGCACAATCGCCACTGTTTTTGACGTTTTTCTAGAATGCAAGTTACTATCGCCAGTGAATTGTTTCACAGCTATTTCCACCGATATTTTGGGATTTTTGCAAGAGTTTGGTACTTGGAATGTCTGGCGTAGTTGCTAATTCTTAGTCTTGTCCCCTGTCTACCGCAGCAGTTCCTTGACAAGCGTTGCGCCACTTAATGGCCCCGAAAAGCATGCAACAATTTACAGGAGATAAGGATCTACAGTTGGGAAATTTGTAGCGCAGGATCACTAAAGAATGGTTGTGGTAACGAAAATAATAATGATAATATAACGGGATTAATAACAATGATAACTATAAATAATAATGAACAACAAATATTAATAATAACAATGATTTTTGCACGGTCTTTTTGTTCTCTGAAATTTGTGAATTGTTTCCCAGGAATATCACTGCTTGCCTGACGGGGAAGAAAGCTGGATTTTAAAAGAATTACTGTACAGAGTGAAAAGCATTTTTGTTCCAGGTTGAAGTGCAGACAGATGTGACGGTACCCATGGAGCCACTGAAGCTGACTGCTCGGGATTTGACAGGGTCGAAGCTGACTGAAAATTATTGTCGTCGATTGGCTGAACGCGATGCCAAAAAAGAGCATGAGCTGAGGGAAACGTATTTCAAAGTACGTTAAGTTTGATTTACTTATTATTATTAAATTTCAACTCTCTTCTGTTGTGTTTCACTGCGAGGGACGAATGCATTTAGCAGTGATCCAGGTAAACAATGTTTTGGTAATAAAACTTCATTTTCCGGCAAGTTTGTTTATAAGTATTTCAATCTCTCTTCATACACGGCGAATAGGAGACTGTACTGACGATTCCCGTTCCTACTCGCATCCAATGCGTGCCTGTTTTTATAGCTAAGAGATGAAACACAAACTGCAAACTTACCTAGTCCATTGGAATATGTAATTTTCAAACAATCTTACTAGATATTTCAGCACATATGCGAGTTGAATTTTCGTGATAAATAAATTTACAGGCAGCTTG